CACACACCCCTTTTCATCCACTCTGTAGTTTGCTTTCTTTTATTCCTTAGTATACATGAATATGTGAAAACACACAACACTCAGACATGCAGCCTGATCGAGTGATAATCTCTTATAATGTGCTTCTATTTAAAGCAACAAACAGATGGAGGGTTTATGAGAAAGGCTGGTAAAAGTAAAAGCAAATGATTGCAATAGTTGTACTTTTAATAGGATTCCCCCACAATCTAAAACATTATTCCCCATGGAACAAATTGTTCTATAAAATTCTGTTACTTAGGAGAGATACCCACCATGACATTGCTGAGGCAACAGAAAACCCCAGGATGGCCGTGATTGTGAGGGTCTCTCCACTCAGACCACTGTCCCGGGGGAAGGAAGATGGAGCTGTCAGGCACCATGATCCCCAAAGAACAAGCCCAGTGGAATAGGGTAAAAGGAAGAAAGAAAAAAAAAGTGCAGAGTGGGTATGAAATATGTCTGAGCTTTGATTGAATTTATTGCCTTAATTTTCTGCTTTGAAAAAACAAGGTTTGGGAAATTCCTTCAGATTTAAGATAAACATGCAACACGGCTTCCTCCCCTTCCTGATGCAGATCTTGCTTAACAAACAGTGGAATTGTAAACAACCCAACACTAATTCATTATCATTATCCCTGCTTACGAGAAACAAAACTCAACTATAATTCTATCAATAAGATGAATATACCACAGTGATGGCCTTTATGTAAATTATAATTAAAGCTAATCTTAATTAAAGTTATTACACCATTCTGGAAGAAAATAAACAACCCCAAGAGAGGGAAACAATGTGGTCAATAACTCACTCCAAAAATATTCTTTTTTTTTGCCTCCAAAAGCTCACATGGAGGGAGACATTCCTGCACATGATACAAATGGTTCTGACATTAAGAAAAGTAAACAAGTAAGAAAAATAAAGATGGAAAAATTCTGTGGTCAGTTCACAAGTGCTTTTTTATTGTTTGAGGCAGGGTTAAAGCCTTTTATAAAGACAAGGATATATGTGCCGCTAGATTGGATATGACATCAGACTAGTCTAGCTGCCCTTGCACAGAGCTCTGTTGCCCATAATATGCCATGGATGAAGCCCGTGCTGATGCTTCTAAACAAAGAACCAGGGTGGGACCTAATGCAGCTAATTTAAAGCATTATCCCAAAGCTGTTTTGTAGATCAAACAGAGAGAAGGTACTCAGCTCTGGTTATTAATGGATTGGAGAGATGAAGGCAAACATTCAATAATCTCTAATTATTAATGGTCTCAAGGATTTTAATGTTAACTGGTCTGAACAGCTGATTAATGGAGGTTGTGTAATCTACAAGCGGGACTCCTGCCAGCCTCAATACATGTCATTCCAGGGCTGTGTTGACTCAGTAGGCCAGAGGCTATGTAAACGGAGTCGAGTCGAGAAAGGAGGTTCTTCTGGGGCAGCTTGGGGATTCTGAGTCCCCAAAGCCTTTCACAATAGCAACTCTCTAGTAACTCACTTGGTATCTATAACTTTGGTTCTCCTCCAGACTTTGCTGTCCTAGGACCGTAGACATCTTGTCTAAATGCAAGAAGCAAAAAAATAAATGCTAAACCAGCCTTTCACACATTTTCAAGGGTGATTTGACTTGTGAACCAGGAAGTTCAAAGAAAGGCTAGTCACCTGAGTAGCATGATCATGGGTATTTTCTTTGTGACATTAATGCTAGAACACAGCCAAGGATGCACAAAGACGTAGCAACATCTCAAAAGCTATGCATCTAAATTCTGAGAGGTCCAGAGAAAAACATGACATTCAGAAGGTCTACACTGTCTATAAAAGCCGTCGGGTCTGGTGGGTATTTTCTACAGTCTTCATTTTGATTTTCAACCCCCTGACCCATCACATGCCTTCATCAACTCAATACTTTTAAATGGCACTCAAAGGAGCAAGCCAGTCCTCGCACAATGAGGGTAGGCACAGTGAAGAAGGGCGTGGTTAAAAAGAGTCCAGGGACTGGTGCAACCAAGGGTGTTGGGAAGGATGCCTCACCCTACAACCTATTCGGGAGAGAAGATTTGAAAATGAATGAAGTAAGATAAAGGCCATGTTTTTGTAGTCCGAGGTTTAGGAAAAGCTATTTGATGGAGGGATTGTAACTACCAGAGTCCGGCTGTCAGTGTATGACCTGGCTGAGAAGTTATCCCTCTGAAAACCTGCAAATGGAAATGCATGATGCTGAAGGTTGGGGGGCAGTGAGGGAGGAGGGACCTGTACCTATGCAGAATATAAAGGCTAAGATTTAAGGGGGAAAAGGGAGAGCATCCTCCCCCTAACTGTGACAATCCCACTAAAAATAAACCCACAGCACAATGATGTCAGAGAGGTCTTGACTCAGTAGGCAAGCTGAAGACAGTCTCTCTCACTAGATGGCAGTCACTGAGCATGCTCAGGGAGGCCCCAGGTGTGACCTCTGCTCCCCTGTGAGCAGTGGAGGGACCAGGCAATCTATCATGGTGTTCATGCTGTCAACCCTGGTGCTTCGCCGCTGCTGTCTGTCACCCTGGTGGATGAGACCTGCTTAAGGGCAATCATGTCAATCTCTCTGTGACCACTCAGTCTAAGGCAGAAGGATGATCTTGACAGGCCTGGCAAAGTCAGCACAAGGTACCAAGAGCTGAAGCCACAGCCTTCCCGCAGAGATGCAACGTGGGCCATTGTTTTCTCTTTAGCTCTTTCTTTATTTTTGCTTTCCCTTTTTATTTTCATGAAATAGGCTAAGGCATACAGAACTTGGCTTCAGAGCTGGTCATCTCGGATAAACCTGTTGCCCTCTGAGTTTTTCCCGTAGTAAACATAGCGACACTTCCCCAGGACTCCTGTAAATAAAAAGAAACACATCATTACAGGTGGCGCAGTTACGATGGCAGGGAGGCACAGGTGCTGAAACCCAGGCATGCAATACAATTGCGGCTCCTAGCAGTGGCAGAAATGGAAGAAGCCCCAGAAGGAAAAGACTATCTTTTTGTCCTCAGAGTTGGCATTCAAACAAAATGTCACTGCTAAGCATAGGTTAAGGGAAAAAGCATGTTTTCTGCATGATTTCCACACTTTAGGGACTTTGCTAATTTGGCAAACTACTCCCTAAAATACATAGCACAACATTCTCTTCTCTCCACGTTCCCTTCCTAGGTTTCCAAAGAGTGAAAAATTAAGTGTTTAAAGATGGACCTGGAGCCAGGTGCGGTGGCAAACGCCTGAAATCCCAGCAGCTCAGGAGGCTGAGGCAGGAGGATCACAAGTTCAAAGCCAGCCTTAGCAAAAGTGGGGTGCTAAGCGACTGAGTGAGAACCTGTCTCTAAATAAAAATACAAAATACAGCTGGGGATGTGTCTCAGTGGTTGAGTATCCCTGAGTTCAATCCCCAGTACCCCAACAATAAAAAAAAATAAGAGAGGTTCAAGAAGAAGAGATAGAACAATTTTCTCAGAAGGTGATGGCTTTGAAGTACTTTAAGCACATCCTAGATGATAAGGGAGAGAGAAGTGGTATTAACAAAACACCACATAGGCATCAGGAACTCTATTCTAGGGGAGAATGCATTGTGTTTTCATCTTCAGTTTTACTGTATGTCATTTGTGGCTTCATGGAAAGCTGTCCTCTCATTCAAGGAGACTGCAGGAGACTTAACTATGAAGAACACCCTTAGGATAGGGTGAAATTTTTTAATCAACTCACTACTAATTCTAAATACCCACAAGAAATCACCTGCCATAGTTATTGTGAAAACCTTAAAGGGTTACTAAGGAAAAAAAAAATCAGCACTTTCAAGCAAATATTTATAACTTCATTTTGCTTTTTGTTTTGTTTTTTGAAATGGGCTCTCACCATGTTGCCCAGGCTGGTCTTGAAATCACGAACGCACGTGATGCTCCAGCCTCAGTGTCCTGTGTGCTGGCACTACAAGTGGGTGCCACCCCACTTAGCTTTCATTTTGTTTCTTGTTGCTTTTTTCCTTCCAGCTTTAGACAAACTAAAACTTCAGTTGCACATGATTCTTTTGGTTCTAATAGGACTGAAATCTTGAGTGTCCAAAGTGCACATAGCTAAGAAAAAAAAAAGTCTATAAAACATTAGTTCACGAGCCACCACAAAATCTGCCTGTGAAAATAGCTACCTAGAAGAGCATAGTTTATTTCCATCCATGTGATAGTGTGAATTCAACTAACACCATGCTTTGTTAATTTAGGGGAAATTAGCACTTGAAATTAGCCAGGTTCTTCACATTAGAAGTTTTAAGTAGTAAATGTTTTTGAAAGTGAGAAAAGCTTCTCTACTACAGAACTTTAAAGTTTGTTCTTAAATAGGGATTAAAATGACTCTTAAGGACAGGGCAGATGCTCCCTGGTTTTGATGGCTTGGGATAAATTGCTGGGGCCTGGGCATCTCTGAGTTGGAAGAGGGACAGACTGGCATTGTCTCATGCTGGCTGCCATTGTGTCCTGCCATGCTCCCATGAGCAACTTTACTGTGGCTCACTCTTCCCACTTGGCCATACTTTCTCTCTTGAGCCTCCAACCCCCAATGTCTGCTTCAGTACTGGTCTGGAACCTAGAAATACTGAGCTGGGATGAACTCTCACTTGAGACCCTTCTTGGGGCCTAAAATATTCTTTTAGTGGTTGGAACTGAGTTGTTTTTCCTTTATTGTGCTGAATTACATAGCACCAAGGGTTGTGCTAATATTGTTGGGGATCTCAGTGGTCTGTGGGCTGGGCTGGGCCAGTCTGGCATCTCCTACAGGCCTGGTTGGGAGTGCCATAGGTAGATAAATCGGACCATCCCTGGGAGATGGCCTTAAACATGACTGATTCAAATGAACCCTCAATGGAAAGATGGGGCCAAAAGATGAAAAGTTCTTTCTCCAGCACCAAGACAGCATGGATTTTAATAAAAAGAAATGGATAGGGCTGTCAGATAACATAAAGATCATCATCTTCATCTTGAGCAAAACATGAAAGGCAGACACACACACGCTGCCCACCACGGGCATGCTCTCCAGTAAAGACTCCAGTGCAGCCAGGGATGCGATTTCTTTTCTCTGCCCTCTCTCCACGGAGAGCTTCCACTCTGGATCTCGCCTAGATGCAACAGATGGAAACAGTTCTCCTGGAACAGGGGTCCCGCAATGTGTTCTGAGACACATTCCCAGACCTTCTTTCTGGTTGGCATTGATGAAAGTCCTTTTTAAGGCCTGCCCTGTTTCTTTGGGCCTGGAAGCAAGAATGTTTATAGACATCTTGGTGAGAGAGGGCTGTTTGATGAATGCAGGAGACTGCAGCTAGGTGTCAGCACTTGGGAAATGAGGCAAGGACATGAGGTATTAATATTGTCAATGATCTCTTGACGGGAAAACAGATACCGCACTCACTGTCAGATTTAAATAGACATCAAGTGCATTAATGACAAAAGGGCAGACTTCAAACAAAGGGGCTGTGTGGTGGGGAGCCGAGTCAGTCTCTGTGCTGGCAATAACCTGATCTGAAAAGACACTGTCAGGACGAGAGACAGGCCCAGGATTGTGTGCGGTGACAGAAAACAGAGATACTGACAGAGATACCAGCGCCACAGAATGCCAGGGATACTCTCACACTGTCTGCCGTTCTAACACAAGCTGACATCACTCCCTATCACTTGGGGTCTTCTCCGCCTGCTCCTGCAGACATGAGGTTTCTCCCCAAACATCATTCCAAAGCTTGCTGTGGCTGTAAAGTTCCTGGCAGCCCTGGTCTGTTGGAGCAGTGGGGTCACGGGGCCTAAGGATAACCTGAGTCAGTCTAAATCTGGGCTTTGCAGGAGGCACACGCTTGTTCTCACTGATATCTCTGCTACTTGAGGTGATCAGAGAGGGCCAACGTGTGAGGTGCTGTCACCTTGAATAAAATCCTTCAAGAGAAGGCACTCCTCGGTCCCTGGGCTGCTCCAGGAAGGCGGGGATGGCGTGGCAGCCAAAAATGAAATCCAGCTGCTGGTGCTCGCCAGAGGAGAAAGGTGCTCCAGCTAGTGACAGTTAAATTTGGTTGATGTTTTTGCACTGGAGCCATGTACCATGGTTGAAATTAAGCAAGCTGTTGCCTCTCCTGAGTTTCCTACCCCAGCTTACAGTGGGGATGTGATTACCCCCAAAATGCAACTTTTGTACTCAAAAATAAATAAAAAAAATATTAACAAGGGGGAGGCAAACAACAGCCTAGCACAGTCCCATGTGTGGCCACAGGACTTTCATTTATCATGAAGGTTTTTTTTTTCCCCCCTGAAATAATAGGCTGTGCTCATAAATTAAGTGAGGTGGCATTATGGGTTGCTCTCTTCTGGCTGTCCCCCCGGCCCTCCTTCTCCACCATGGCAACTGCCAGACGCTGTGAAAATTACAGAGGGAACTGTCTGCTTGCAAAGAGCATTTTCTCAGGGAGGTGCTCTGAGGCTGGAATTTGGGAACCCGCTGGTTGTGACCCAGTAGGCCACGGTTTGGTTTCTGTGCACATCTGCAATGGATTCACTTGTTTGTATCTTCTCAAACTATAACATCTTAGAACTGGAGGGGGAACAACACATTTAACAGCATATGTGGTGTTTTTAATTAAAATATCTGGCTTTGGCCATAATAAGTGGAGCGGGCCTGCCATGCATCAGGCCAACACGCAGATGTCTGCGCAGGGTTTCTTTTCAGGGGCCCTGAAAAATGACAGTGCACCATCCCCGGGGAAATCCTCTCCTGCCAAATGAGACTCCTAATTTTTCTTAAGTAGCCAGCTTTCCCATCACCATAAGCTCTTAAAGCTATAATTATGAAAAAAATGTATTGGGAAGAATATGTTTTAAAGAGGCCTTTTATCTTTTCAATGTTCCCCCCCTCTGGAACGGATGTTCTAATTATGCGAGTTGAGTTATGACCTTGGGGCTGCCTAAGGGGGTGGGAATGAGCCCCTTTTCTTGGATGCAAGGCTGTGACCATTCCAGAGACTTGGATGGGGGAAGCCTGAGTGTCCAGGGAAGAGTTCTTGCACACACACCTCTGAATCTGAAGCCGGCACAGCCTCCAGGACACACCGACCCTCTGGACAGCCTCACACTTCCACCCTAAGAGGTGGTGGAGGAAAAGAGGTATTTCAATCCAGCCCTGTTCTTCATGGTCTTTTGACTGGGCACACCTCGCATACCCTCACTATACCCTCCCTGGACTGGTATCTCCACTTGTAAAATGGGGACAAAGATACTCTTGAAGGTCCGTTTTAGTTGTGAAATAGATGATTACCTTTTTGAAATGTTCCCCTTAGGGACACAAGGACAGTAGGTCCAATACTGCCTAATGAAGGAGGCAGATCCCATGGTCAGTGGATCCACAATTTGATTTGGACTGAGCTCTTGAAACCCATGAAATACATAGCCCCATATCACAGCCCAGTCATCTTGGGGGGGGGCTGGAGGACCCCAAAATCTCCAAGAATAAAGGTTTTCACCAACTTTCTGACAACCTGTTTGACATACAGCTGAAGGGTTGTCCCACATCCTGCTATCTCTGTCACCAGACAGAGTCTCACAGCATCATGGTCAATGGAAGGAAAGCTTACCTGGCAGAGCCAGTGACCTTCTGTCCACATTTCAGTGGTTGGGACGGTGAAGAATGTGCACATACCAATATAAAGACATTTGATGACTGAGTGGAGGTTGGACCAATAATTCATATTTGCAAACTAGGGGAATTAAGTATCGATTTTATCATTACTTTTAGTTTGGGTAATCATCATTTTAAATGCCGTTATCTGTTGAGAGCCACAGCCGAAGGGGCCCCAGCAAACTTCCAGCTGCCAGCAAACTTC